AAGAGTGAGATGCAATCCTACACTGCAAAATACCATATTACAACCATATTAGACCTTAACACCAAGGAGACAGTAAGCTGAGAACTAATAGCAACAAAGTACTATCTGAGTAGCAGAGTGCCACAGGGCTCAGGACAGGGAATGGAGCACTTGGCTCTCTGCAGACCCCAAATTGGCAGCCATCAAGACAAGGTTTTGCCACATCTGCTCTTCATCCCGAGACATCAGTAACATGAGCAGACAACAGTCATGCTTATAAAACTCTGCTGTGAATGTCCCTATTTCACCAGTGACTGCAGCGTAAAGAGGCAATTGCCCAGATTCCTTACAGTGTCAGAAGTAGTTGAACTCAGCTTTTGGCAACTGCTCTTCTTTACCACCACAACAGCTCTCTGAAGTGGGTACAATGGAGGAAGCTCCAAAGAGCTCGGATCTCACCAAGCTAAGGATGCTGTGCCTCACTACAGTTTTTAAGAAGTGGTCATTTCCTCCTTACTAGGAAGACTGTGGAGGATCAGGCACACTACAATTTCCAAACACTCTAATTACCCTCAACTGGTAACACAAGAAGGAAGGGACCATACAACTCAGAGTATGCACAGTCTCAATGCTCATTGGCATTAAAATTGCATATGAACTACCTCTATCTTTGAAAAAGCAGCTGGAATTAACGGGAAAAAAAAAAAAGAAAAAAATCACACAAAATTGAAAGCATAATTTAACTATCAAACTCCCAGAAAAGGTCTGTCTAGATACCCAAGACACCACAAGAAAGCAGATTTTGAAGTTTGAGGTAGCATTATAGAAGAAAGGGGAGGGGAAGCCTAGTATCTCGGAGAAAAGTTTTCATAAGCAAACTAGTACTTCTTTATGAAGCCAAATTTAAATGCTGTATGGTTCTAGAGAAAAACAGCACCCTAAACTGTCTTCCAAAGAAGGTCACTGATTTCTCTGAAATTTCAGTGGTGTGCACTCCAGTCAGAGACACTGGTGCTGCAGAGGCAGATGCAGCAGAACTCCGTGCAAAAACACAGAGGTACTAGCAAAATGTTCAATTGCATTTGCCACCCAAAATACATCAGTTTAAAATCTAACTAACCTGAACAACTTCCCGCTGTATGTTCCAGGGAAGTCCTAGTACTTTTGGTAAGATGCACAGATGAGTCTTCATTTAAAAAAAGAAAGAAAAAAAAAAAAAGAACTGTATTAATAGAGTGCATTTCAGACCACAATTACATTCAGTAACTTAACTTCTTCACTTGCCTCAAAGTGCTCTGCTCAGATCACACCAATGATCTTGAAAAGAGCTAATTACAGACTCTGATGGAGACAGGAGTGGGAGAACAGGAAGATCTTTGCACAGCATTTTATAGAAAAACGAGTCACTCCATACTTGTTCATAGAAACCACTACGACAGATGTCTGGTAATCTCTTAAGTAACAGTATCTTAAGTCTGCCCACACTGTTTTGCTGTTCATAGCTCCACCAGTTTGAAAAACTGCCTCAAAATAACCTCTCTAAAACCTTGCATGGGGAATATTAATTGAAGGTTTCTATCACATCTTGTCATACTGACTCAGGCTGCTCCCTACCATCTTACTCTTCTGGTGATTTAATGTCACAACATAAGTTCTTCCCATCTTCTACATCTTATGAACATTTTATTAGTTAATGTAGTATAACCGCAATAAAAATAATTTAAAAAGAAGTATTAAATGGAAATTAACCAAAGCATTTGACAATAAGTGCTGTAAGATCTTCAGATCAGGTATATGGGGGTTTCTTATTAAACCTCTGAAATACCATGGAACTTAAAATGCTAACTCAATGAGAATCACATTAAATAGACTTCAATGAAAATAGTTATTTACACAATTCTCTATGGTGTCTGATGTCCCAAAAGAATATCACAAATCCTGTGACACTACCATGTGACAGAGTAAGACAACAGAAATCACCTGACATGGCTCCACGAGTCACTCAAATCAAAAATAATTACATTTTAGTGCTATTTCTATAAGGAACCCCATACTTCCATTTGATACATCAACCAACCACAGTAGTGTACAAGATTTGGCTGTTCCTGCTGTCAATAAACACTGTTCCAAATCATCCACAAGTTTCTCCAACATATATGCTGCGTTTTTTCTTTTAGGTTATAAAAGCATTAATTATTCTATTAAAAAATTAAGAGCCTAATGCTACTGGGTAGCTCACCACAATAAGTACCTTCACAACATGGCTCCTTATTTTTGGGTCATTTTCACTACCTACCTGCAAGTTCGAATCCATTAACAGGGGCTATACTAGCCATGCCCAGAGTTGCAAATGAGCCTCTGTAATGACTCACTGAAAGTTCATTTACTAGTTCTCTCCTTATTATATATTTTCAGAGTTCTTGTAAACAAGATGTGTTTGGGATATACAAGACACAAAACTGGTCCATGAATGTATCTCCACATAGAACATAGCATGAAACAAAATTATCAGGTTCAGAATTTAAAAAAAAAAAAACACAAAAAACAAACTACATGAGGCAAAAGTGTTTTGAACAAATATTCTTACAAGCCACACTTTTCACAACACTTTAAGGAACAATATGACAGGATTTAAGTCAATTATTCTTAAAATAACACCACATTAATTGTAAAAATTTAGTGTTGTTTTATGACTGCCACTGTAATCTGTTTCAGAATATTAGAGATATCTTAATCACTTACTATATCTAATGAACCCTAGTTCACGGGACTAATTCTCTAAAAGACATCATTGTCAAAATGTCAAGGCCTGTTACTCCTTCATTTGTCAGTCTCCTCAACAGCCCTCTTTTTCCCGATTCCATTTTAGAAGCCAAGGAAAATGTGTCTTCTTCATTATGCATGAGAAATTATTATGCAAGAATAGACAAAACATGTATATCTCAAAGAGGCTATCCATCTGAGGTATAACACCAGAAATCTGAAGTGTTTTTTACATTAATGATTTCACAATCCTTTATACAAGAGTAAAGATGTGATGCCTTAATATCATGCCCAAGCCCCAGGTTTTGTTAATTACATCCTACCTACCTAAATGCCCCCTGTAGTTTCAATTAGACATGGTATTCTTCTTCACTTCCCGTCTTGATTATTGTGCACTGTTGCTAAGCGCTAGTTAACAGTTGCCACATTCACCCAAAGTTGGCTGCACTTCAGTGGTCATTCAAAGAATTAAATACAAAACATATGGTACAGAACCATACAAAGCATAAGAGCACTATTAAAAGCCACTCTAAAATGCTTAATATGAAAGATACTACAAAAGGTTACACCACTGAAAGTAAAATCTTTACAGTTCTACACCCACTTAAAATTTCCTAGAAACACTGACAATTATACAGAAATGCATTCAATATTTTTTAGTTATCATTAACAAGATTTCCCAGAGTATATTTTTGACCTTATACTGACTCTAGTTTTACACTAAACGAACAGCCCAGAATTCATAATATGATAGGCTCCACAGTACAGAGATTTTTCCACATTTCCCTTAAAAATAGTTTAATACCCTACATCCCATAGCAACTAATTAAAGTCTCCTAAATTACACCTCCAAATTTTCTTCTTCCTTGTATCTGCAAAATACTTTGGACATGACTTGTTAAACTGCCAAATATCAATGCCAATAATTATGTGCTTAAGAAGACCTTGAACCAAATGTACTTTTTAAAATTCCAGACAAATGTTTCACACAGCCAGATCACCCCTCCTTTCATCTGTGCTATCCTCATGAAATCTTAAGAAACTTCACATATTTTAATTATCCCAGTAAAAGCTCAGTAATGAGATTGCCTATTACTGCTTCTTTCCCTTAGTATTACATCCTGAGCTTAAAAACTGCCTGACCAAAAAAATCACCAGTATTTCTAATTGTTACATTATCTACAGCCAAACCCAACTAATAAAAATTCCTGGTAGGTAGATACTTGTTTTTATAACTAACTTATTTTTCTGTTAAACAGCTTAGTGAAAAATTTGTTTTGCACAAACACTACCAATAATAAACAAAAACACACTATGTATCAGTTATCTGTATTAACAGATGTATAATTGAACCTTCAGGGTTTGGAGGCCAACCCTTCAAATAGGTAGGCACATACCGAAAAATTACTGACTTTCTGGAGCATTTCATTGGAAATGCTTCAGAATGCATAAGAAAAAGTATGCATATGTTTGAAAACCACAAGTGTTAAAACGAGGAATAAATGAATGTTTCTCAACAGCTCTGAGAATCCTCACACAATCCTTATTCCTTTGCAAAGAGGTATTAAAAAAGTTAATCCACCAGCTCCATAAGTGCTTTTGTCCTCTCACAAACAAATTCTTCAGGATAAGGTTTAATATTTTCAAAGAATATTTTTTTAATCCCACTATGGCATATGTAATAAGCTTTTCAATCAATAGAAGAGCCATCCTTGTCTATCTTTAAGGGGATAACAAAACTAAACCCAAACTTAGGTGTGTATTATAGTATTCAAAAGTGCAGAGAGCTTTTACCTGGCCTCTCAGAAGGTCACATGTAGAACTATATCCACAAGTGACATATTCACCTACTCGCTTCACTCTCAGCTCTAAACAACAGTAATAACTGTAATAAAAAAAATAAAAAAAGCTTTCAGTTATTCCTGAAGTCAGGAAATAAAAGACAGCGCTTTCTTCTTCAGCAGCATTTTATTTCAATCTTTTAAAAAGCTCTTTGTAACAGGGCATCAATAAAGTATGACGAATATGAAATACTGTTAAGATAGTACTTAAAATATCATTCCTTGGAAAAGTCTTAAGAGTCACTGATTCAGAGAAGGCCAAAGGAAATTGTGTAAAAAAAAAAAAGTCACATCTTCAGGGTAATTAAAGCAAACACACTGACAAGCAACAGACATGGGAAGTATTTTTCCACCAGGTGACTTAACAGCCCCCCACACTTTAAACGCATCTGACCACTGATAGTTCGGCAATTTCAGAATATGGACGGAGGCTCAGGGGCCTAAACAAACACCGACCCGTGGCCCACCCTCGGGGTCGGCCAAAACCCTGCGGCTTAGACCAAGTTTCCACCTTCCGAGAGGTTCCGGGGAAGCCCTGGGCAGCGCCGGGGAGGGCAGGGCCGGTCCCCGGCGGTCCCCAGCCGCTGCCCCTCCGCACGGCCGTCAGCCGCCGCGGAGACCCGGCCGTAGCTCCAGCGAAGCCCGGTGCTTCCCCTCCCCGCTACTTTTACTTCCCAAAAAGCAAACGACTCCCTGCGGCTCGGCCGAAGGGAGCCACCGGAGGGCTGCCCGTGAGGGGACCCACCGACGGCAGCCTGCCCTCGGCCCGGCCCCTTGGGCTGCCGCGTCTCCAGGGGACACCGCCGCTCCCCCGCCGCAGCGACAGCCATCTCCCCCCCGCCCCGGGAAGGAGACCCGACACCCCGTCTTCCTCTCCTCAAAACCAGCCTCCACGCGTTCAAAACCCCTCCACTAAGCACCCCCTTCGAGCCGCCCGCCGCCAGCGCTTCCCCCTCCCCATCCCCGCCTCAGGCAAAGCCTCCCCCCGGGCGCGGAGGGCGAAGCAGCCGAGCCCCCTGCCGGCGGCCGCCCGCATAGCAGCGAGGCGGGGGAGCTCGCCGCCCGCCCGTTCTCCGGCAGAACCACCTGCACCCCCCCGGCACCCACCTCCCCACACCGTTCCCCGGAGCTTTGCTGCCTGCCGCCCGCCCGCACACCGCGACGGCCTTGCTCCCGCAGCCGCCCCCCCGGCCAGGGCTCTCCCCCCTCCGCCTTGCCCCGACGGTGCGGGGTCAGTTCACACACACACACCCCCGCTTCCCTCCTCCGCCTCCCGGTCCAAAACGACGGTAACAAAGGGCTGGAGCCCACCCGGGGGAGGGCACCGGCAGCCCGCCGGTGACACCGGCCGCAGCCAGCCGTGCTGCCAGCAGCCCCCGCCGCTGCGCTGCCCGCGGCGACTGACACCGAGCGCGACCCACCGAGGCACCGCCGCCCCGACCCGC